GAGTAGAGTGTAGCTGGTAGGTCCAGAAGCGCTCCTGGTGGCCTTCTTTTGGATTAGTTAGGCCTCTGGGGCCACAACTTTTCACCCACCTTGCTTATGAATCTTTTTTTTTTTTTTTTTTTGAGACGGAGTTTCGCCCTTGTTACCCAGGCTGGAGTGCAATGGCGCGATCTCGGCTCACCGCAACCTCCGCCTCCTGGGTTCAGGCAATTCTCCTGCCTCAGCCTCCTGAGTAGCTGGGATTACAGGCACGCACCACCATGCCCAGCTAATTTTTTGTATTTTTGGTAGAGACGGGGTTTCACCATGTTGACCAGGATGGTCTCGATCTCTCGACCTGGTGATCCACCCGCCTCGGCCTCCCAAAGTGCTGGGATTACAGGCTTGAGCCACCGCGCCCGGCCTGCTTATGAATCTTTTATGCCAGGTCACAGCGGTGACTGTAGAGCTAGTGCCATGGAGTGCTAAGGACACAGATGTGAGAACACACTCAATTGGCCAGCACCATCACTGAGCTGCTCTGTGATGTGAGATGACGCCAGAAAAGAGAGGTGTGGGGAGCGGGGTAAGGAAACACACTGCTGAAATTAACTTATTTTATCTGGAGAGAAGAACAAGTGAAGGCTAATAATGATTGGGTAATGACTAATAGGTGGTGATGGCCATTATTTATTGTATACCTACTCCGAGCTCCATGCTTTAAATAAATCTTCAGTTCTTACAAAACCCTCGGGAAGTGATGGGTTGTACCTGTATTTCCATTTTTCAGATAAAAAACAACTCCAGAAAAGGAAAAGTGAACATCTGGTGTCACAGAGCAGGGATTTAAAATCAGAACTACCTGTCTGGTTTTTTTTTTTTTAATCAGTCTACCCTGTCTGGGTTTTTTATACCGATCAAAAGTGAGAAGCAAAGAATTTCTATATATCTATATGGGTGGGTGCAGTGACTCACGCCTGTAATCCCAGCACTTTGGGAGTCTGAGGCTGAGGAGAGAGGATTGCTAGAGGCCAGGATATAGAGAGCAACCTGGGCAATACAGTGAGTCCTGTCCATACAGAAAAAAGCCAGTTGTGGTGCCATGCACCTATACCACTAGCTGCTTCACAGGCTGAGGCAGACAGGAGTTCAAGGCTGCAGTGAGCTGTGATTGCACCACTGCAATTCAGCCTGAGTGACAGAGTCAGACCTCTCTCAAAATTATATATTTTTAAGAGATGGCTCTTAAAAAAGAGCCGGTGGGCGCGGTGGCTCATGCCTTGTCATCCCAGCACTTTGGCAGGTCAAGGTGGGCAGATCACAAGGTCAAGAGATTGAGACCATCCTGGCCAACATGGTACAATCCTGTCTCTACTAAAAATACAAGAATTAGCTGGGCATGGTGGTGCATGCCTGTAGTCCCAGCTTCTCAGGAGGCTGAGGCAGGAAAGGCAGTAGAACTCCAGAGGCAGAGGTTGCTGTGAGCCAAGATCATGCTTCTGCACTCCAGTCTGCCAACAAAGGGAGACTCCAACTCAAATAATGATAATAATAATAACATATAAATAAGTAGAGATGTGGTGAAGAGCTGGAGGGGAGCACGGGGTGAATCTAGGCAGGAACCAGAGCCAGAACCAAAGGAGCCACGTGTGCTGATTGATTTAAGCTCAGGAGCTGTGAGGGCCACTGAAAGACCTTGTGTGGAGATTGATGTGATCTAACTGGCCTCCTAGCCTAGCCCTAGCGAGCGGGAGTGGAGGGGATGGCTGGGAGGGAAAGAGAGTAGTTGGGAAGCCCATCAGCCCAATCCAGGCAGGAGAGAGCAGGGCCCGGCTGAGGCTTCAGAGTGAGGATGGAGAGAGGCAGACTGGGGTGCTGCTTAGAGGGTGAGCCGGTGTGAGCAGAGATGCAGGCATGCGCAGTGGAGTCTTTTGCCAGGGTGGGAACAGGTGGATCAGGTGAGACTCATGTGCGGGAACCCACAGGACTCGTGTCTCCCTGTGTGTGTGGAGTGAGGGAGAGACCTTGGGGATGAGTCCTGCGCTTCTAACAGGGAGAGCACCTGACTGGCGCCTTTGGATGAGACACAGGACCTTCTAGTTCTAGAGTAGCAGAGTGTGGGGGAGAAGATGCAGGGTGAGCCTGGATTTCCACCCAGTAAGTGAGGGACCTGTGGGTTGTCCAGGGAGGGCAGCTGGGAGGTAGTTTTGTGTGTGGGTCTGAAGCTGCATCTAAGGTGCAGTATCCCAGGGGGAGCTGATGTGACAGGCCCAGATGCGACTGCCCACGGAGTGTGCACACTGATGAGAGTGGAGGGCAGGGAGGCTCCTACCCCTGAGCTTTCCGAAGGTCTGAGAGAAGATCAGAAGCCTGAGTAGAAACCTTTAGCTCATTAGAAAGGAACCAGAATACCAAGAAAACCACAATGTAACAATTTTACAAAATACAATTATATTTCAAAAGCAAAATTAGAAAAAGATATTCAGCCTCTCATTTGTACAAGTGTTTCATGGGATGTGGCTGTATTTTAGCATATTTAATGCATCTGCTGTGATGTGGGCGAGGCCCCTCCAAAGGCATCGCTCCTAAAGTCTATGAAAGGAGGTGGGGTGTGAGAAGTCATCTTCTTCTTCATGGGGACCAACAGCCCTCATTCAACAGCCCCCAGGACTCTCCTTCCCAGGGGTGAACTCCCCTCTCTGGCTTTTCCTCCATCCTGCCGGGTCCCTGACCCCTGCAGAGGGCACTTGTGATGCTGCACATAGTGTTTGTGCAGTTCTCACAAGATTGGTCCTGATGACCCTCATCTGGGGTCGCATTGTCCCTGAGGTGTCCCACCGTGGCCTCCACGCTGCTTGGTCTGGTCAGGCTGTCCCCACAAGACCAGGTTAACCTCATCTGAGGTCACCCTCTCCCTCAGGTGTCCCATCATGGCCTCCACGCTGCTTGGTCAGGTCAGGCTGTCCCCATCACATCGGGTCCGGATGAACATCATCTGGAGTCTCGTTCTCCCTCAGGTGTCCCACCGTGGCCTCCACGCTGCTTGTTCTGGTCAGGAGCACTCGAGCGCCCCCTTGCTGCCCGCCTGCTCCGCGCCTTCTGCCAACTCCAGGCAATGGCATCCTATGCTTTCTCCAGGCGATGTCCCTGTGGCACCATCCTACTGGAGTAGATCTTGTTCTGATTGTCCATCCACCCCTCCCCACTCCCACTTCTCAGGATCTGATTTCACACCCCACCCACTTCCAGTGCTCAACTCAACTGCCCGCGCTTCTCAGCACCTGCGTGGTCACTGGAACTGCCCGTGCACAGGGCCTGGAAAGGACTCGCCACCAAGTGGCCGACCCAGGAGGCAGTGGACATAGGACTGGATCTCATCATGGACAGTCATTCCCTAAAAGAAATTTTGTAAGGAGTCAGAAACCTCTCCCACTTAAAAGCAGACGACCAGAATTTAAACTCTGTTTCTATCTCAGAAAAGTGGAGGTTTTCTGTGTGAGAGAACACTCTGGTCAATGTAGCCAATATCAACAACATATAATATAGACAGAATAGCTCTTTCCAACCCTTGTAACATGGCAACTTTAGAGTTTTTTAAAATACTGAATTGTTGCAAAATACACATTAAATGTTAAAAAAAAAAAACAAAAACAAAAACAAAAAACTCTAAACTTACCATCTTAGGCTTTTTTTTTTTTTTTTTGGAGACACAATCTCGATGTGTCACCCTATCTGGAGTACAGTGGCAGGATCTCAGCTCACTGCAACCTCCGCCTCCTGGGTTCAAGTAATTCTCCTGCCTCAGCCTCCTGAGTAGCTGGGATTACAGGTGTGCACCACCATGCCCAGCTAATTTTTTTGTATTTTTAGAAGAGATGGGGTTTCAGCATATTTGCCAGGGTGGTCTCCAACTCCTGACTTTGTGATCTACCCACCGTGACACAGTATAGTCATACTAAGGATATTCACATTGCATGAAACCTGTCCCCAGAGCATCTTCACGCACATGAAACAACTCTGCATCTCCCTGTCCCTCCAGCCCCTGCAGCCCCCATCTTACCTTTTTATTTTCTGTGAATGACTCTAGATACTTTATACAATATTGTTTACTTTAAAAGATCCAAAAGTATACCCAGGATGGGGGAATTAGCCACCCCAAGTTTAGTGAGCCCCTAAACACCGACTTTAAAGCCTGTGCTCTTCTCTGCCATATTCATTCATTCTGGGCACCATGTGCCGTGGGGTGCATTTGAGTGTCTGGGAGACAGTGTTGAACTTCTTTAGTGAGAATCGTCTGTGCTGCAAATATATTTTCTGTGTGGCTTGCCGTTTTAGTCTCTTAATGTTGTCCTTTTAACACCGAAACTTTAAATGTGGTCAGATATATTGGTCTTTCCCTTTATGGTTATTGCTTCTTCACTGCCACTTACGGCATCTTTTCCTAATTTGATGTCCTGAAGATATTTTTCTGTTATCTTATAGATCAGTGCCATCCAACAAAAATATGAAGTGAGACATGTATTGTCTATCTACACTAAATACTGTCTATCTAGACCCAATATCATCTAGTATACACATTGAAAGAGGGAAAGGAACCTGATAAAATAATTTCAAAGTTTCAATATAAAAATTGGGACATGGCCAGCCATGGTGGCTCATGAACTATAATCCCAGCACTTTGGGAGGCTGAGGCAGGCAGATCGCCTGAGGTCAGGAGTTCGAGACCAGCCTGACCAACGTGGTGAAATCCTGTCTCTACTAAATACAAAAAATTAGCTGGGTGTGATGAAGGAAAGTTACAGTGAAAATTTGACAGTTGATCGGCATACTTTCTTACGTGAAAGCTGCCTCCATTATATAGGTTCTTCCAGGAACTCAAACACTGTTAAGTGAAACATGGGAGTATAGTTTTTATTATTTCTTGTTTTCATTTTCATAATAAAAGGCACTTTGTTGAGGAAATCAGCACAAATTGGCATTCTTTGGATTTCCTCATTCTGTGGTTTAAGATTCATTTTTGACTGCGTGGAGGCCGTAGGTGGCGGAAGGAGAGAGGCAGCCCACCTGTCAACTGGCCTGGGGAAGCCGTGCTTTCGCGGCCACCCGGCGCCACACTTTCTCCGAACCCAGCATGTAGGTGCCGGGCGGCTGCCATGAACTCCGGAGCCATGAGGATCCACAGTAAAGGACATTTCCAGGCAGGTGGAATCCAAATCAAAAATGAAAAAAACAGACCATCTTTGAAATATCTGAAAACTGATAACAGACCAGAAAAATCCAAATATAAACCACTTTGGGGAAAAGTATTTTACCTTGATTTACCTTCTGTCACCATATCTGAAAAACTACAAAAGGACATTAAGGATCTGGGAGGGCGAGTTGAAGAATTTCTCAGCAAAGATATCAGTTATCTTATTTCAAATAAGAAGGAAGCTAAATTTGCACAAACCTTGGGTCAAATATCTCCTGTACCAAGTCCAGAATCTGCATATACTGCAGAAACCACTTCACCTCATCCCAGCCATGATGGAAGTTCATTTAAGTCACCAGACACAGTGTGTTTAAGTAGAGGAAAATTGTTAGTTGAAAAAGCTATCAAGGACCATGATTTTATTCCTTCAAATAGTATATTATCAAATGCCTTATCATGGGGAGTAAAAATTCTTCATATTGATGACATAAGATACTACATTGAACAAAAGAAAAAAGAGTTGTATTTACTCAAGAAATCAAGTACTTCAGTAAGAGATGGGGGGAAAAGAATTGGTACTGGTGCACAAAAAGCAAGAACAGGAAGACTCAAAAAGCCGTTCGTAAAAGTAGAAGATATCAGCCAATGTTATAGGCCATTTTATCTTCAGCTGACCAATATGCCTTTTATAAATTATTCTATTCAGAAGCCCTGCAGTCCATTTGATGTAGAAAAGCCATCTAGTATGCAAAAGCAAACTCAGGTGAAACTAAGAATCCAAATGGATGGTGATAAATATGGTGGAACCTCAGTTCAACTCCAGTTGAAAGAGAAGAAGAAAAAAGGATATTGTGAATGTTGCTTGCAGAAATACGAGGATCTAGAAACTCACCTTCTAAGTGAGCAACACAGAAACTTTGCACAGAGTAACCGCTATCAAGTTGTTGATGATATTGTATCTAAGTTAGTTTTTGACTTTGTGGAATGTGAAAAGGACACACCTAAAAAGAAAAGAATAAAATACAATGTTGGATCCCTTTCACCTGTTTCTGCAAATGCCCTGAAAAAGACTGAAGAAAAAGAAAAAGTGGAATTGCAACATACTCAGAAAGATTGCTGGAAAGATGATATACAGGCAGTGGAGCAGAATTTCCTGTATAGAGAGACCCAGGAAACAGAAAAAAAGCCTGTGTTTATTTCAGAGCCTAACCCCCACCCTTCAAATGAATTGAGAGGGCTTAATGAGAAAACGACCAATAAATGTTCTATGTTAAATACAGCTGGAAATGACATAAGACAGAATTTTACACAGCTACCTCTACATAAAAACAAACAGGAATGCGTTCTTGACATTTCTGAACACACATTAAGTGAAAATGACTTGGAAGTACTAAGGGTAGATCACAATCAGTGTAATGTACAGACATCTGCACATGTTTCTGACTTCAATACAGATAGTGCATCTCAACCAAAACAAAACTCAGATACTTTGCTTTTTCCAGCAAAGGATCTCAAGGAAAAGGACCTTCATTCAGTATTTGCTCATGATTCTTGCCTGATAACCATAAACAGTTCACAAGAGCACCTAACTGTTCAGGCAAAGGCTCCATCCCATACTTCTCCTGAGGAACCCAATAAATGTGACATCAAGAATATGGATAGTTTACCTTGTGGTAAAATACATCGAAAAGTGAAAATATTGTTAGGACGAAATAGAAAAGAAAATCTGGAACCAAATGCTGAATTTGATAAAAGAACTGAATTTATTACCCAAGAAGAAAACAAAATTTGTAGTTCACCGGTGCAGTCTTTACTAGACTTGTTTCAGACTAGTGAAGAGAAATCAGAATTTTTGGGTTTCACAAGCTACTCTGAAAACAGTAGTATATGCAATGTTTTAGATATTTGGGAAGAGGAAAATTCAAACAATCTGTTGACAATGTTCTTCTCTTCACCTTCAACTTCTACATTTACTGGCTTTTAGACTTTAAAACATGCATACTTTTCAGAAGTGATAAGGATCATATTCTTGAAATTTTTATACGTATGTATGGAAATTCTTAGGATTTTTTTTCTACAACTTTGTTTATAGAACCAAATGTAAATATTAAAAAGTAATGTTTACAGTTTTCTACAGAATTGAATGCCTGTTACAGAAAAATTACAGAATAAACTTGTGACTGGTGTTTTGCATAAAAAAAAAAAAAGATTCATTTTTGTTGAGTCCTTCTGAGAAAAAACAGTATGAACCTTAACAGTTTCTGTCCATCCTGATGGCAGAGCTCTCTGACTTGCGCATATGCTGCCAGGCTGGGTAGTTTTATACTTTGTTTTCTTGTTTTGCTTTAAAGCTATGACTCAGCATACATTTTGCCCCATGCATTTTAACACTAAGCCTTAGGACTGAATCACCTCCACTTAAATTGATGACACAAGCAGCTAATAACCGTTATTGGGTTTCTACCTAACCTTCTAATTGTCCGTTAAAGCCAATTTTCTGGGTGTCCTAGTGAATGGTGGCTGTTTTTCTTTCCACACTGGCACATATGCATTTACATAATTGGAAACGTCTGGATTTCTGATGCCAAAGGGTTAAAGCCTCTTAGATTTGATTGCAGTGATACTCAGCCACTATTCTATTTTTGAGCAGTGACCTTTGGGCCGCTGTTTAACTGGGGCACTGGACACCAGTGTCAGCACCAGGGTTTTGTTTTGTTTCTCTTGGGTCTTTCCTGGCACATGTGAATTTTGTTCTGTGTAAAATGAAATGACTTTCTCTTGTTCTCTGATGATGGGTTTAAAATTTAAAAAGCATCTGGTTTTGGTATGGGGATGATCCAGGATTGTGTTAAGACTCAGATATATTAGTTACTTGTACATTTATTTGGATCTCTGCAAGGGGAAAACTAAAAGTGATGAGTTTTATGTAATTAATTAAATTTGTTACAGCTTTTCATGTTCAGGATAAATAATTTTTCAACATTGGGTGAGAACCCTTGCAACAGTTTATTGATAAAGTGACTTTTACCGTAGGACAGCCGTTGCATGCCAGTTTCTATATGTGTGTGAAACACTTCAAAATTGATTTCAAAGATGTAAGTTTAAAATTGATAGTATCTAATATGCCCCAGGTTTGGTAAATAATTCTTTAAAAAAAATCCAGTGCAAATTCTACACTTAATAACACATCCCAAGTGCTCAGTAGTCACGCATGGGCAGACCAGTGTGGGGTCTCTTCCTGCTCTCATTCTGTGCCATTTGTCTATGCTTTCCCCACTCCTACACTATCTTAATTTGCATAATTTTCATGATGAGTTCTGATATCTCGTAGGCAAAAATGTCTTCTTAGGAGAGTGTTGGTTAGCCTTGGCTTTTTGCATTTCCATATACATTTTAGTTGTCAAGTTCTCAAAAATATAGCGGGATTTTGATTGAGATTCTGTTGAATCTAGATATCTAAAGTCCCTGCCATGGTTCTGGAATCCTAGGGTAAATACAAATAAATTCTGGAATAAACAAGACGCGAAAAACATGAACAAAAGCAAAACTGAGTCTCCATCTATCTATAGCAGGGCATTGTGCCCTGTGAGCCATCAGGGGTCATGGTTCTTGCACTCACCTTAACCCAGGGCAGGACTTGACCTTCTAGAGAAGAGGTGAGGTGCTTCCCACTCCTCACTCCCCTCTACCTTCTCTGTCACCGGCCCTGTGGTTTGCTCTGTGGCTACAGACCGACTTCCATGGAGAAGCCCAGGACACATGTAGAAGCTCAGGCAGGCTGGCTGATCAGGCAGGGAAGGAAAGGAGCAGAATGTTTACAGAAAGGAAATCCAAGAGGATTGACAATGGGAATGAAGGCAAAATACGGATGGCGGTAGGTGAGCAGGACCTGGCCGCGGAAAGGGCTCCCGGGACTCACTGAGGCAGAACGCTGGCTTGCCGTTGTCTTGCTTTCCTTTGTCCAGCAGGTCAGGCTGCTGAAGATGGTCCCGGTCATCCTGAACGGCACCAGCACTGCTCCAGGAGCAGGAAAACCACCCCCAAGATGAGATGTGTGAACTGCCAGGTCTGGTGGGGGGTGGGAGGGCTGGAGGCTGGGGACTAAAAACGGGGAGAGGAATGGCTAGGGGAGGCATGGGAAGGAATTCTGATACCACGGCGCTGGAAAACAGGGCAAGAAGGAGGAGGGGGGGAAGAGCTAGAGGAGTGACGGGAAGGAGTTCTGGGACCACGGCTTTGGGAAGCAGGGCTAGGAGGAGGAGTAGGAGGACAGATAAAGGAGTCATAGGAACGAACTTTGAGACCATGGTGTTGGCCAGCAGGGTTAGGAGGAGTAGGGGAAGAGGTAGAGAAGTCACCGGAAAGAGTTCTGGAACCAGGTTTAGGAGGGCTAGAGGCATAGGTGGGGAAGTCACCAGAAAGAATTCTGAAACCAGGTTTCAGAGGGCTAGAGGCATAGGTGGGGAAGTAACCAGAAAGAGTTATGAAACCACAGCATTTGCAAATAGCTGGTACATCACGAGCAACAGAAGAGCAGGGCAGGTGGAGTTTTAGGGCAGTATAGTGGGGAAGGCGGGCACGAGCCGCAATGGGATAACAGTTAGGGCAAAAAACGGAAAAATCTACATACTTATTGGGAGGGGAAAGAGGCCTGTCAGACTGTGGAGAAATAGCGGGTAAGTGGGTTGGTTTAGGAGAATAGGTTGGATTAGGACGGTGGGAGGGATTAGGACGGTGGGAGGGATTAGGAAGGCGTGGTATCAGGTGGGATGGAGGGTGATAAATCGCAGGGAGCTTTCTTGTCATTTCTTCAGTGAGGATTCTAGTTAGTCACTTGTCCTAATGAGTCCAAATGAGTAACTGGGGTGTGCCCAGAGCTGCTCCGGCATTGATCTCTACGCCAACCGCTCGCATCACACTGTGTCAGAATGCCCATTATGATTCCTATGTGCCCCGCATCTTTTGGTCTAGGGAGAGCGCCCCACCCCCCCCCACCAACCAGGGAAAGGGGCCCAGTCTCTAGGTTTAAGAGTGATCACGGCAAATAGCAAAGAGAAGAAATGGGGGCTGTAATATCCACCCCCGTTCTGGGGGTACCATGTAGTTAGGCCCCTCAGTAGGCAAAGTTTGGTCAAAGGGCCAAGATGGAGTTAGGGGCTTGGGGCCTAGGAGAGTGGTTCTGAAGCAGGACTTGGGAAAATGGGAAGTCAGTGCCCCAGTCTTTCACTTAGTACATTTTTCAAAGCACTTCCACATCATTTCTATCGCTGCATGAATACCTGTGATTAGAGGAGAGATGCTGTATTCACTGGATAAATGAGGACACTGAAGGCCAGAGAGGAAGCTGCCAGAGGCAGTGGGTGACAAAGCAAGTGGGACTAGAACTTGGGCCAATGGAGGGGCAGGTGGGAAGGAGCACAGAATAGCCCAGAGCGCTGACCAGCGAGCGGCCTCACCTCCTGCTGACTCTCTGGACAGGGTCCTGCAGGGGGCGCTTCAGAGCACAACTTTACTTTCTGTAGTGACCTCTCAGGCCCTGTGCCCCTGTGGTTATGCCTTACTCTTAATAGGGCCAATGCTGGCAGGAGGACTCCACACTCCTGGACACCTAATGACTAGGTTTGGACTGGCTCACTAGCTGAGATGTCTGACTCCACGTGGGATGGCTAAGGAGGCCGCTCCTGCACCCTTCTCCATTCTTTGGTCTGATGGAGCAACCCTCTCTACTGAACATTCCTGGTTTCTGTGATCACCATCCAAACCCTAAGCCCCTTTGTTCTCCTGTTCTCTCCTGCACTCTTATCACTATATTCTGAATTTTCTCCCTTGGCCCAGCACCCCTTTCCTCCCACACTGCACGAAATGTTCAGTTGTCCTCTCTGGAAGTCCATCCAGTTGCATGACAAGCACATGTCCTGATTGCCTTTGGCTACTCTGTCAGTGACAGTTCCCTGCATCTCTTGGCTATAACTGTAACCTGGATTTCCCTTGAGGGCATTGCTTCCCTTATGTCTCAAGTAGAGAATATACGTTCTCTCACACTCCGAAGTACTTGAGGTGGGAATGTGGCTTATAGATTCTCCTTCCTCCTTCCAATTGCTTGGAAATGAGTCTTTCTCTCTTCCCATTAGAAAATCTCTTGCTCCTTAGAAACATGTGCTACTCACCCCCACTGCCAGTTCCCTGGCACTGCCACCTTCAGATCTATCGAAGATTTTCAGTGAAAACTTTCACACTTCACACTTCTCCTAAAGTCTTTTTTTTTTTTTTCTTTCTTTTTTTTTTTTTTTTTTTGAGACAGAGTTTCACTCTTGTTACCCAGGCTGGAGTGCAATGGCGCGATCTCGGCTCACCGCAACCTCCGCCTCCCGGGTTCAGGCAATTCTCCTGCCTCAGCCTCCTGAGTAGTTGGGATTACAGGCACGCGCCACCATGCCCAGCTAATTTTTTGTATCTTTAGTAGAGACGGGGTTTCACCATGTTGACCAGGATGGTCTCGATCTCTCGACCTCGTGATCCACCCGCCTCAGCCTCCCAAAGTGCTGGGATTACAGGCTTGAGCCACCGCGCCCAGCTTCCTAAAGTCTTATAATTGAGTTCATCATCCTGACTGGCTTCAGTGTCCATTTAAATGGCCTGATTCAATGCTATGGCCTCTGCTTTTCCTGACTTTTGTTGTTGTTGTTACTTTAAGGAAGTCTTATGTATTTTTAAAAGTTGTAATTGATATGTGCATATCTGTAGGATACAGCGTGATGTTTCTCCACATGCCGCATTGAGCAATAGTCAGATCAGGGTATTTTGCGGATCTGTCACCTCGGCACTTAGCATTTCCTTGTGGTGAGAAAAGTCTTTGCTTTAGTTATTGTGAAAATTTTCTCACATATTCTGAACATTAACGCTCTTTGTTATATACAAGGTTTGCATTTTGTCACCAAAGTCCATCACCTACTTTCTAGTCCTTTTCATCACCCAAGAATTATC